TCCGCACTTATTATTTTTAAATCTTTAATTTTTTTTCAATAATAGTAATAATATACTCAAAATTTAAATTTAAAGTGCAAATAATTTTTTCTTCACTCACATCTTCACTATTCTTATAATTAATCGATTATGGTTAATAATTATTCAAATTCTTCTATAGATAAAAGTTCAAATTCACCTTTAAGCGTTTAAAGATGAATAGTTTTAACTTGTTTCACTTCTTTATTGGAGGTTTGAAGCCTCTCATATGCTTCTTTTGTTGCGGTTACACTTGAAATCTTATCGAATTCATCTTCGTCAACTGCTTGAAAGACGAGATAAAGAGCCTTTTTATCTCTCTTTATGGGATCTTTCAATATTTTTTTCTAAGTATGGGATAAAGCATTATGATCTTGTTTACTATAGCCTTTCTCGGAATTATCTCATGCATCTTGTACTCCTAAAAGAGCCTTTATTTTGATGCTTCAATTATCATAGTTGCTCTTGGCAAGCATCATAAGTTGAAAAGAAATCATTCCCCCATTTCTCATAGCTCTTACTATAGCCTTTCTCGGAACTATCTCATGCATCTTGTACTACTAAAAGAGCCTTCATTTTGATGCTTCAATTATCATAGTTTCTCTTGGCAAGCATCATGAGTTGAAAAGAAATCATTCCCCCATTTCTCATAGCTCTGATAACACTTTATTGGAATTTATAAACCTAAGATTACTTATAAACTCAAAATACAAATCTCAAATTTATACAAAGTCTAATTAGAAGTTATATTTCTTTTATTATTTTTCTCTTATATCGTATAAATTTTTTGCTTATCATTTGATTTATAACCCATAAGAGAATATTTTATTTATACATAGTTAGAATTTACATCAAATATTTTTCACAAACTAATCTCAAACCTTTATTATTTATCAATCAAAACTAACACACACACACACATGTATCATAAGTTTTGCATAACATTTGAAATTTTAACTTGTCAACAAGTCAAAAAAGTTTATTTATTAGTTTAATAACACACTTGATCATAATCTTATTTAATATTTTACTCAACAAAAAATTAGCCCATATTTGTTAATAAAAAGCACTTTCTAATCATAACATCAATTTTTTTAATCATACTAAACAAAGAAACTTAGAAGAAATGTTAACTAAAAATAAATATTTAATATTATATATATGTCCATAATTTGTAAAATACATATGATCATAAGTCATAATATTTTCAATGAATATTTAGTATTGCTTATATTCTCAAGTATCTATATTTAATCTCTGCAGAAATGCAACTCTAAGCATAGTAAGGAACCTGGATCAAGAAACTCAAGATCGTGCCACAGAGCCAAAGCCATATTAATATATATATATATATATATATATATATATATAACATATCCACACTTCTCACCAAAAAAAGGGACTCCTAGGTTTAACTGAGCCCTATAAAGCCCATATTTTGAAGCAATAATTGCTCATAAATTCTTGAAGGGTCCATAGTCTACTAATGAGGGAGACTACCACAAAAGCTTAATTACAGTAACACACATTTGCATCATTTATTATATGTAGGTGTATAACAAAAATATGTCAAACCGAATCTCTCAGAGGAATGAATTAAAATCAGGACGACCCGTAGCCCGGATGACCGACCCAGTTTAGTTGATCGAGTTCATACCTAAAGACAATTAAGTTTAACCAGCCGAGCCAGAAAGCAGTCAGATGACAAACTCATACATATAAAATATCAAAAATACTCATAGGAACAGAAATATAACTTCATATATTATATCATCTCCCTTATAAATATTGTGGTTCACGGACAGTATTCAACAGCAAGACTTAGTACTAGTTTTTCTCCCTCAAACTTTAGCATTTAATTTGTTGTCTGCCAAATCCAAAGATCATTAGTCCAAGCTACAGAACACCGTCCTCCATTGTTATTTGGCCCACACCTCTCTCTCTCTCTCTCCTCTCTCTCTTACAGTGAGTTCAGTAGCAGTCAATATAAAAAGATTAGCTAGCATCAGGAGTGATGCAGAAATGATGAACGTATCCTTACTAAGGATCATAGAAATAAAAAAACTATTTTTGTTGATTGCATTGTCAACTGTGGTGCACTAGTTTCCTTTTCACGTTGTAACTTCAGCTTATCTTAATCAGATTTGTCAAAACTTATTAGTTAAATCACGTCCACACATAAAACCACAACCATTCATGTCTCTTTCACATTTCTGATAGAGCTTTGTTAGGCTATGCTTTTGTTATTATCTTATGGCCAATATGAATATTCCCTACAATTCATATCTCATCAAGCCAAGCTTGCCTAAAGCTCAATTCACATGTATTAAAATCTTGTCCATAAGATAGTCCTAACTCAATAATAGACACTTAGAGCATTTAAATCAAAATATATTTGACATGTTTGACTAAGAAATCATTATTTTTAACATGATTAAAAATATCTAATAGTTATTTTGAGTATTTTTAAAAGCATTTTAATTTATTTTTTAGAAACAAAAAAATTGAACATGTAAAAAGCACGCTAAAGAAATATGAACTTATTTCATCAGACTCATGAAGTTGCATGCATCAATTATTGCTATTCGTCCGGAGAGCTTGACTACTCAGCCAGAGTATGTACACACTATCCAACTAGATTACTTGTTAAAAGAACTTACCCTCACTTTGAAACTCACCTAAAGTTTCTGTTGAGTTGTTCACTAGATGCATCATTCATTCTCTACACTGCGATGTACACCAAATTCAATCTACATATATTATTTTATACAATTGCACTACGAAGCCAATTTTGTGATGATGTACTTGATGTTTGCCTATAAATATGAGGCCATTTGGAAAGCACTAAGAAATCATGAGTAGAATCTTTTACATGACAATATTGATTCTAAGCATAAAATTTAACACACATTATCTCTATAGAATAATCTTAAGAATATTTATATCTTAACTACTTATTGCCAATTTGGTTTGACTTGCCCTTCTTTGTACATGTTGGGATGTAGAAACTTATACTTCTACTAGAGCTTCAATTAATTTGAAATCAAAATCATACCATGGAATAGGATTACACTGATAAAAAAATATTGAAAAACAAATTATCCGAATGAAAGCATGACAATAAATAATCCAAAAAAACACACTAGGATTTAACGTGGAAAAACCCGAGAAAGGAAATAAAAATCACGGAGCCACATCACTAAGAAATTTTCACAATGAAATTCAAAAAGATACTAATTACTCACTCAAATCTCTCTACAATCGATGAAATCCTTTCATGAATTTCAAAAACACACTTATACTTACATGACTTTGCTCCAAACCTTTCCTCTCGATCTCACAAGAAAAATATATGTTGAAATCCTTTTCTCTGACATGTTTCTAATTCACCAGAATTCTTATTGAAACACCTTTGCTGCTTATCCATTAGCTTCCTTTCCCTTGTGGGCGTTCTTCTAGGCTCCACACCTCATCAATCTTGCACTTCGCAGCTGAAAGTGCCCAACACTTAATCCACAAGATCTACACCTCTATCTGTATCATCTTCATAATCACATATTATAGTGTGGCTTAACCCCGACTTTAACCTTCATGGACGCCAAACATAGCTCCAATTTCTCGATAGTCACTAACTTCGTCAACATGACAACATGATTCTAAGCTTTGTATATCTTTTCCGAGAATAATTGCAAATCTTATGGGTGAAAGTGTATAAAGTGATACCTTAAGTGAATATATTTTGTCCTAAGTTCTGATCCTGTCCTCGTACATCCTCATTTTATTAAATGTAATATCTTCAGACTTGATAAATTTCTGATTCTTATAATCCTAGAACTTATGTCAAAACTTATTTGAGTCATATTAAATGAAGGTGCACTTAACAGATTGTGAGTCAAGTTTATTTTTGGATCGTGCATCAACATGTACATATGAAGAACACACATGTACTTTTAAATGAGATAGATTTACCTCGTTGTCACTCCAAGTTTCTTCAATTAAGCCTTCCTCCAAAAATACTGATAGACTACAATTAAGCAGATAAACAACGTTGTTTATCTGCTTAATTGTAGTCTATCAGTATTTTTTTAAGCAGATAAACAACGTTGTTTATTGCTTCAACCCAAAACTATTTTTGACAATCCTACATGCAACTTCATGCTCTTGGCTTGGTCTGTGATTATTTTATTCATGCCACATCATTCTGTTGTGGTGTTCTTTGGATAGTGTCTTCTCGCATGGAATGTAAGTGAGAAAACTTGACATATTTATTAATAATAGTAAGACATTAATATTTTAAAATTCACAAATAGCAATATAATGGTTTTTAAAAATTAAAACTTAAATTAAAGAAAACAAAAAAAAATCGATATTAAAAATTTATATACGATGAAAAGAAAATAATGATTTATACCTTTCTTCTTTGTAGATATACAGTAAATATTGCATCTACCTTCTCCATGTTTCAAAAATGATGCCTCTCTCCTATTTCTTAATTAAGCTCTCAATTAATAAATTGTAGTTAATTAATTTCTAACAGCAGTGGAAGAAGACAAGTCTACATAATTTCAGAGGACTGATTATGATTAACTAACTAACAACAGCGGTGGCAATTAAGTATAATACTTTCAGGAAATATAGAAATTAAATAAATGAGTAATAATGCTGATTATCTAACAGTAAAATTAAATTTAATAAACTCTAATGAAAAATAATTAACAGATAATTATTTTTTTTCCTTAAAAATATCACAATGGGGTTACCTTTCCTCTTTATGGCCTTCAGAAGTTCAGTACTGTTCTGTCCCTCTCAATTGTAAGCAAGCAAATCACGTGCCAATCACTTTTGCATTCCTATTATTGCATATTTGCATTTATATTTCTCATAAAATTAGTTATCATTTCTCCATAACAGTTAATATAACATATTATTTCACATCATTTTCACAGCACAAGTGGTCCTCCATTAGTTTGGAAACTCTCTCTCTCTCTTTCTCTATCTCTCTCTCTATCTATCTATAGTAAAAGGCCTCAGATCACAGAACAAAGTGATAGAGATCAATTTCTTCAACACCAAGCACAGAAAGGAAGAAGAAAGGTAATCAACATAAACTCAAGCCATTTATCAATTAAATCTTCATAAAAATATGATTTTTATTTGATCCATGCATTAATTTCATCATACTAAGTAGATGAAAGGACAGTTGGAGCTCAAAGAGCTAAGCAATGATCAATCGTTTTCATCTTGTTATGAGCATGAATCATCATCAGTTATGTGGATGTCATCAAAGATGAGAATTATGAGAAAGTTTGTGTGTTCAGAACAGAAAACAGTAAGGAGGATTAGAAGAAGAAGAAGAAGGTGTCAGCAGATTCAAGATGATCAGAGGAAGGAAGGAAACAAAGATCAGAGCAGCTGTGAAAGCAGTAATAATGGAGGAATTAATAGGGTTTGCTCTGATTGCAGTACAACGAAGACACCCTTATGGAGGAGTGGACCTCTTGGCCCAAAGGTAGCTTATATAACCCTAAATTACTTGGCTTTAAGGTAGCTAAAATAATAAAAATGCCTTTTTTATTTTTTATCTATGAAGGAATGAGACCTTGCTTTCTTCAATAAAAGAAGGGGTATAGTAGGGTTTGAAGCTCCACTTCAAAAAAAAAATAAAAATTATTAAAAATATTTCAATATATTTTATATTAAAATTGGAAAACAAATAGCATTAGAGATTTTTTTTTGGGATATAAAATTATGTTTTTTTTTTTTTTTTTTTTTTTTTTTTTTTTTTTGTTTTTATCTATATGTCTTTGTTATTTACTATTTTATATCTCATTATTTTATCTTCCTGTTTTTTCTTTTTTTATTTAGAAGGGGTTAACTATTTGGAAATGGGCAATAATAAGCACTTTTTAAAATGTGGTTTGACAAAAATAATTTTTTTTTAATAACTTCATGTATCTTCTAACACTAATTTACTTTAATATCATTAAGAAAATACCAAATCGTATTCACTTAAAGATAAATTTGCCAACATGTAGACATATCTTACATTCTCTTTTCTTTTCTCATGACATGTTAAATATAAAAACAGTGATGCATGCATATCTAAAGAGAAGATCAAATAAATATTATATTTTAATGTAGCTTATTATTACATAAATATAATGTTGGAAATACACTTTTTACATGTAAATAATGTTTTTATTTTGTCAGTGAGACATTTCTCTACTGTTATTTACGTACAGTAAAAATTTCTTAGGAAAATCACTCTGCACACAATTAAACTTGATGTATTAAGAAGTACACTCATGCATTATTAGGTTTACATTATGTCATTCTAAGTGATTTTTTAGTGTTCATTCAATTAGATCAAATGTTGATATTGGTCTTCACATTTATTAGTAATATTTAGAAAATGACATATTATTCCAATGATGTTAGATGAATTCATTTTGTATAGTATGTACAAGACTTAAGTTGTTAAATAAAGAATTGTGCAAAATTTGTCATGAAATTTACTGAAACAATAAATTAAATAAAAATATAGTTAGAGAAAAGATTAGTGATATTTATTGAAGATAAAATGAATGAAATAGAGTACGGTGTTTCAATATAGACAATAAGAATAGAAATTGCTCTGATTAAATTAACTAATAGATACAGTATGATAAGAGAATTAGAGAATTGCAGGTTTTAAAAAAAATATGAATATATACTATTCAAAATGATACATGAAGGATAGATTAAACCACAACTATATCCCTTAACATGAATGATTGAAAAATGAGAGTTTATTAAACAATATTCAATAAATTAAGAGAATGCATATGATGATGTTGATGATGATGATATCATTCAATATTAGTGTTAAACTTTCTCAAAAAGTACTAGGGGTGTGTAATTGAGCCAAGTCAACTAATGAGCTAGCTCTAGCTCAGCTCAATAAGCAGCTCATGAGCGAAGCTTGATGAGCTAGTAAGCCAAACTCATTGTTTACAAAACTTGTTAATATAAAATAAAGGAAAAATAATTAAAATTCAAGAAATTATCTTTACATTATTAAAAATGCTTAAATATAACATTTTATATTTTATATCAAATGATTGATCATTCTATTTATCGTCTTATTATAACTCTAGTTTCAACTAATATTACTTTCTCTCTTTCATAATAAACAAGTCAGCCCAAAACTCATAGAATTAAACTAGAGCTTAATCTCAAACTCAATTAATTAATCAATCCGAAGCCCAAATCAAAGGTGACTCGAGCTCGACCCAACTCTTTCACACCCCTACGAAACACTAAACTCTCTCTTCCAAATATATCCATGTGATGCAGTCCCTTTGCAATGCTTGTGGAATAAAGCAAATGAAGGCTAGAAAAGCGATGTCATCAGCAGCACAGAGCAGCAAACTGCAGTATCCAGTGGTCCCCATCAAGCCTGAAAAGAACCAGTCATCGAAGGTAGATTGCAGCATCCCTTTCAAGAAGAGGTGCAGATTTGTGGCTACTGCTGAGGCTGCTCAGAGGAAGCTTTCATTTGAAGATATGCCAGTAGCTTTAAAGGAGAGATTGGTGGCTTTGAAGGGAGTATTTCCTCAGGATGAGAAAGATGCAGCCATTTTATTAATGGCTTTAGCTCATCGTGATTCATAAATTTATAATGTTTGTTTTGATGTTATGTACTGATTTAGGTGTTGGAGGAGTGAAGTTTAGAGAAGAGTGGAATAAGATGAGGAGAGGTTTTTGAAGGACCAACGTTTCTTTTATGAAGTTGTTCTTCTGTTTTTCTTTTCCTTTTTGTTGGAACGATTGAAATAATTCGACTAAAGCTTGTTTACCAGCTGTACTTTATCATCTGAGTATGTTTTTTATTTATTTTTTGCTATATATATAAAATCATATTGTTTCTTTTGTAATGAATCTAAATATATTAAGAATGATTGTATTAAATATCAAGCATATCACTTAAAAAAAGGTACACTTATCACTTTGGTTTGTTATGATATTAGTTTGAGCGACTATCGCGTGTAGAGAGGGCACGCGGAGCTGCGTGCGTTCTCTGTTCACAGCCGCGCATCGCAGATGTACGACAGTGGGACCCACTGTCATACAAACAAGCTTTGTGGATAGGTTTTAGAAATACGTATTACTCATATAAGCGTCTATGTGGTGTTGCCTGAATGATCAAAAATCAAATTAATGTTGAAAGATTTATCTATGTAAGCAATGGAAAATCAGTTGAGGTTGAGGCTATAGAAAATTTTAAGTTAATATTATAGAGTGTAAATTATTTGAATTTGAAAGAGGCTGATGTTGCATAATCGTTTAGACTACATTTTGTTTCTATTTCTACTTTAGACAAATTTGGATATTCTTGTTTATTTGGAAATGGTCAATTTAGTATGTATTTGAATTTGACTACATTGAGTTTAGCTCTTTATCATATCATTATAATATATGCTTAAGTAATGCAGATGCATTATTTAACCAAGTAAAACTTAGTTAAAATTCTTAAATGTGGATCAATGTCATGAACGAGAGATTAATTCCACAAAAGGCAATGACGTTTGGGATCAAGTTCTGTTACTTGATATGCAACAAAGGCAATGAAGTTTGGGATCCCATTCTGTTACCTGATCTCCAACAAAGGCAATGAAGTTTGGGATATCAAAAAGTATTTCAAAGTCATATGCAAATAAAATGGATGTGTAAAAATAAAGATTTTAGATGGTGATATTTATGAAATAATTTATATGAAGCAACCAGAAAACTTTGAATTAAGTGACCTAAAGAATATAATTTGCAAACTAAAGAAATCTAATTATAGGCTCAAGCAAGCTTCTCGTCAGTGAAACTTGAAATGAACGATCTTGGTAATTTATTTTTGATCTTATGTAGAAAAATATATCATGATCGGTCTCAGGATGTACTTGGTTATCACAAAGGAGTTGCATTAAAAAAAAATACTTAAAAGATTTGGAATGCAAAATTGTAATTCATGTGACACCCCTATTACTATGGGAGACAGATTAAGTTCCAATTAGTATTTTAAAAATAATCTTAATGTTAAAGAAATGCGAAAGAATCTCTATTCATCAGCTATTGGAGTCTAATTTATGCTCAAGTTCGTACATAACTAAATATAGAACATATTGTTGGATTTCTAGATAGATACTTGAGTGATCCTTGGATTGATCATTGGAGAGCGGCTAAATGAGTTAAGAGATATTTATAAAGAATAAAGGATTACATGCTTGCATATAGAAAATCAAACCAATTGGAGATCATTGGATATTCAAAGTCATATTTTGCTAACTGTCAGGACAATCAAAAATTTGCATCATGCTCTATTTATTTTCTTGCTAAAGGAGCCTTTTCCTACAAGAGTGCAAAATAGACTCTTATAACTTCTACCATAACAATAGATTTTATAGAATATTTTGAGACTTCATGGCTAAAAAAATTTTATAGTGTGTTATGAATTTTAGAAGAAATTTAAAAATCATTAAAAATTATTTTATGATAATATATCAACAATTATATATTCTAAGAACAATAGGAGTGCATCAAAATTGAAATAAATAGATATCAAGTTCTAAATTTTAAAAGAATGAATTCAAAGTGGAGAGATGTCTATAGAGCATATTAGTACTGACCCCATGATTACAGATCTGTTAACTAAAGGTCTTTCACCTAAAGTCCTTCATGAGTGCATTGCTAGTTGATTGTCGTATCATTTAAAGATATGTGTATTTAGTTGATCTCACTAAAGAATAAAATTGGACCAATTGAAAAGAGGCATGTTTAGATCACATTAAATTTAATTTTTATGCTCCACATTCATATTTGATCTATTTCATTTGGTTATATTAATATATATGAAAATTGATGGAATTAATTATGTTAAATCTAAAAAAAATTGTTTTGATCATATATTGATGGATTTTACTATATTACTATTCTTCTCAAGGGAAAGCATATTGGATTGGAAGATTTAAAACCCAAGGTTTTCCTCCTCTCATATATTATAATTCATTTTTGTATTAGTTTATTTATTTTTATTAGTGAATTTCACATCTTCAGTATATGGTTCTCTCTTTGGATTTATTTAAAATTTTATCTAATAAACTCTACAATCATATAATTGAAATCTCTTTTTATAATCATATGTGTTTATTATATTTCTACTTATATAATTGTCTATATGTTTTACTAATCAAAGAATATTTAATTTGAATATTCACATTATAAATAATTATAAGTGAACTTTTAATAAACCAAAAAGAGCCGATGGTTATCCCATGCCCCCCTTGATTGTTATATTTCTAATCCAAATTCAACCTAAATATTTTGAATCCCCCCAGTGTCAATCCAAATTAGACATAAATCTTCTAAAGACTGAACCACTCCAATGCTTCAGATAGGACCATCAAGCTTGACACCGCTCATATTGTAAGTCATATGATCATAATGACTATCAACCATCATTTAACATTCTCTTTGATGTGTAATCAATAAATTTTTATCCTCAATCATGAATCTTAAGGTAATTTTAAACAATAAATATACCAAATCCAAATTCATTGTCGTTCAATATCTCAATTTCATTAAGCTTAAAGTCAAACTAAATGTCTCAACAAGTCAAACTAACTGTCTCAATTTTATGCTACACATTTTGAGGCTTTGAAGCGTTGTACTCCAAATACAGAGTAATGAATGACATCTTATTGAAGGCTTCACAATAACTTATGGCCTTTGTAGCCACCAATCACTATTGACCACTAATCGCTGACAGTTGTCGATCTCCGTCGGTCATCCCCTGCTTGCTACCATTGGCAAACATTGCTTGATAACAATGTATCCCGAATACGATGTAATGTTGTATACAAAATGTGGTGCATCAAATTATGTTGTATTGATGTCCCAGTGATAACTTCTGGCTACTATAATTGCCAATTAACATTGAAAACTAATTGACAGCCGCCATCGATCACTGTCGGTCATCTTAGCTCGCTAATAGTGTATATAGAATACGAAGTAATAATGTATCATGAATATATTGTAACAAAGTATCCTCAATATGGTTTAATGATATGTCTTGAATACAATGTAACCATATATCCCAAACACAATGTAACGAATAACCAAGTACTAAGTCTTGACGATAAATTTGACCTATATAGTCGCCGATCATAATCGAACACCATCTACCAGCCACATTAAACGACCACTGCTTGTCGTCCTTGCCTGCTGTCATCAGCAAACTCTGCTTGCTAACGATGTATTCTGAATATGGTATAATAACGTATCACAAATACAGTGTAACGATGTATCCTGAATATGGTATATTAATGATGTATCATAAATACACTGTAACAAAGTATCTTGAATACATTAGACAAATAATGTCATGTAAATAATCTGATGATAACTCCAAGCAACCACTACTTAAAACCGTCAAACCATAAATACAACATTTGTTCTTAACACCAGTATTCTTCTCTACGTCTTATATCAGCAAGTGTTATCTTTAGTATAAAATAGTAAGACTAAGAGAAGGGTTGGAACCACCAACCAGTGCGGTACCAACTACGGTCTATGTGACCAACTACGCTCTATGTGGCTAACTGTTATTATAGTTTTCAGCTATGGTTTCTATGACCAACACACACTATTATAGCGACTGACTACAATCTTTATGACAAACTACTACTTTTCTAGCAAACAACAACAATTTTTGCAGCTCACTATTCTTATTATCATCAATAACTATATTTTTTTAGCCCACTTGCAATTATTAAATTTTAAACACTATTATGCATATGTAATTATCAACACTATAATTTCTTATTATTTAATTCAAGAGAATAATGGACCATTGTTTGCATTTACATAGTGGATTATCTTGAATGTGCTAAACCGTATAATTTTTTTTCTTTCATGGGTCTTTCCACGTAAAAAAAGAAACTTGTGGTTTGTTCCTGCTACTTTTTTATTATTTGTGTATGTACTAAATCTTTGTGTGATGCTAAGACGTTAAATTATCACTCTACCGCCATAATTTTTTTGGCAGACAACACTCTCATAAAACTTTATCATGAAAAAATATATAAAAAAAGAAAAAAACATGGTTTCGATCTTATTTATATTTTGTTGGCAATCGAGTTTGTAATGATATGGTAACTAGAAGTTATCCTGAGAGCATCGAATTTGTAATGATATGGTAACTAGAAGTTATCCTGAGAGGGTACAAACATTACAAAAAAACAAAATAATAGCCGTTAATATTGTGGCAATGAGACAGTGATCTCCTTAATACAACTGTACAAATTTGTCCTCCTCCGTTTAGACTAACAATATAGGACCAGCATCTGCCCCACATGTCAGATCAAACTGACCGAAATTTGTTATTTATAAATCAATCATTCGCATTCTCATTGCACCATTTTTTTTTAATTCACTCAAATATCAAAATTTATGATAAAATTTTAACGCACCATTTTTTTTTAATTCACTCAAATATCAAAATTTATGGTAAAATTTTAACGCTTATTTTTCTATTTTTATCAAATTCTCAATGATTTGATCATGCCAGTTTATTTTTTTATTTTTATCAAATTCTCAATGATTTGATCATGCCATATTGAAATACGTATATTCAAATACGTCGATTCAGCAGTTCAAAAATATCACCTAAATGATGAATTTATAAATATCAATATTTTGAATGATCTTCGTGTAATTATCCCTCATAAATATATATGCAACACCTAAATGTTTACATACATGTCACATTATTCATCAAAAATATGTATTTTACTTTTTTTAAAGTTAAAAAGTTGGGTATAAATGCAAAAAAAAATTGAGCTATTTTCAACCCTTTCAAATCTCTCCAAATAATGGCTTACTTAATAGATGTATAATGATTATCAACTTCATTTGAATTCATTACTTTTTAACTAACATTTAAACTTCGATATTAATTTATATAAAATATAAAATTTTAATGTCATCAAAATACAATTAATTTTAATTATTTTTTAAAATAAAATATATTTTTTATGTGCATATTATAATGTAATTAAGGCACTAAAATATTATATAAAAAAATATCGAAGTTTAGGTTTTAGATATTTAAATACAAAAAAAAAATCTCTAAATCGCCATTTTTTTTAAAAAAAGGGTGATCAATTAAAACACAATGGCAAACGTTGTGGGATGTATATGAAAAGATAAAGCACTAGTTTTGAAAAGAATAGATAATGGCATAATACATCATAACCTTTACAATCAGACATGCATAATTAGGAGTGCAAATCAGTCGAGCCCTGCTCGTGAGTTAGCTCAGACTCGACTTGATACGCGGCTCTAGAGCTCAGCACGATTAGCTAACAACCAAGCACAAAATGATAGCATTTTTGTCTTCAAAAATGCCAGCAGGATGAGTTACATTTCAGAGATATGAAATGTAAATAAAGATTTTCAGGTCAAAATCATCATCTTAAAAAGCCAGCATTTTTATCCCTGATAAAATGCATATTTCACTTGCCCAACTTAAAATGTTTCACACAACTGTTTCAGTGAGTCATAGGAAAAGCTCTGTTGAATTAAAAAATATATATATGTATATTGTACACTAATAATAAAAACATGAGACAGAAATAATTGCAATATTGTTTCTGCTAAACAATTGCAGAAGACCCCTTTTGAGTCAATACAACCTATCTATGAGGTCTCAAAGAGTAAAATATAATACACATTACTCTTTAAACTTAATAAAGACTAGTTGTTTGGGTCTAGATTGCTTGGGTGAGAGCAGTGCCTTCCGAATGACAATTAGTTCCATGGGCGGCCTCCACCAAAACCCCTACCTCTATCGCGGCCACCTGATGGATGCAAAAGATGTTCAATATGAGCGCAGTTTCGACGATTAAATATTTTGGGGCATTTACATGCATACCATAATTCTTATGTATTTACATATCTGACACTTAAAATTTGCTTTCTACATTTATACCTCCAAATCTTTAATATCACATAAAAAATACCACTATTTTAACATTTCAAAAGTGAAATGCAGCCTTTCATGCATAGATAAGGAGGCATACATGTAAAAATTGAAGTTTAGATGTTTGATTATGTAGATACATAGAAATTGAGGGGTATGTATGTAAATCTTCCTAAAAATTTCTGCGAAGAAGAAAAAAATATAAGGATTGAAATTTTCAAATGACTACTTTTAGGTCTATGATCAATAGATCGTTGGGATTTCAATCCAAACAGAGCAAGAACATGAAAAGATTCATAATAAAATGACTTCATTTAAGAGAAAAAAAAAATAGTAGGTTTATGATAAACTAAATTCATTTAGGTGAAAAGACACTGTAATCTGTAGAAACCTTATGTAGGTATCAGAGAACTGTGTGCTACTCAAGAGGAAAATGTGTTAAAATAAATAAATAAATAATGTTAAAATATTGCTTATAATCTGGCTTTATTTCATAGGAGAGCACTTTTTACTTAGAACAATGCTTCCCAGATGCCTAACATTTAATAATTACTCTACAAACTAATCTAACACCTGATGTTTGTTGTTACAAGTGGAGTAATGAAGCTAAGAAAAAAAGGGAATTTACATAAATACCCCCCAAATCCTATGAATTTATATATCTAACACCTAAATTTTGCTTTTGACATTTATACCACCCAAAGCTTTCAGATCAAAACAGAAATACCATCATTTTAACTTTTAAAAAGTGAAATACACCTTTCATGCATAAGGTGGTCTGTAAGTAAAAAATTAAATTTTTAGGTGTTAGATATGTAAATACATAAGAATTGAGTGGTATGTACGTAAATCTAACAAAAAATAGTACCTTTGTTGTTGAAATTTAGTCATTAATACCTGGGTTGCTAGCCATGAAGACTAATAGCTAAGTTGTCAGAAATATGGCAAGTTCTATCTTAGTTATTTGGAAGATTTACATACATACCACTAAATTGCTATGCACATACATATCTAACACCGAAACTTCAATTTTTACATACATGCCGCCACCAGACTTATCTATGAATGGTGTATTTAACTTTTTAAAATTTTAAAGAGTGACATTTTTGATGTGATATGAAAGATTTGAGTGATATAAATGTAAAAAGTAAAGTATTGGTGTTAGACATGTAAATAAATAGGAATTGGGTGGTTTGCATGCAAATATCGCTGTTTATTTTTACTTGCAAATGGCACAGACTATTTGTTCTTGCCTAAAAAAACGTGTCACGGCTATAAATTGGGAAAGGCACAAAAGCGTTGGGGAGGTTTACCTCCAGGCAGAGGTGGAGGGGCGCCTCGGCCCATGGAAGCAAGTTCAGGGCAGACCTTCTGTCCAGCCTCCTGGAGTATGTTAATGAGATCTTTTGCAAATCTGGCATTCGCTGCTGTGAAAAAAGTGTACGCTGTTCCTTTAGATCCAGCTCGCCCTGTTCGTCCTATACGATGAACATAATCCTCTAAAGATCCAGGAAAATCGTAATTTATTACATATTTCACATCCTTTACATCTGTCAACAAAATTTTAAAAAGAAAAAAAAATTAATAACAAAAGGCAAGCCATATCCTGTATTAGAGACATTAGGTATGCATAAATATAGAAAAAAGTAAGGGGCATTCACATGCATACCAGCCAATTCTTACATATCTAAAACCTATACATTGTTTTTTACATTAACATCACCAAAATCTTTTACAAATCACATCAAAAATACCATCATTTTAACTTAAGAAGTGAAATATAATTTTTCATGCATAAAAAAGGTGGTATGCATGTATGTAAAAGCTGAAGTTTAGATTTTAGGTGTAAATATATAGGAATCGAGTGCTATGTATGTAAATCTTACAAAAAAAAAATAAAACATAAAAAAGAAAAGTACCCAAACCACGAGCGGCAACATCAGTGGCCGTCATTATGGGACTTTTTCCAGCTTTAAACTCCGAGAGAACCCAATCCCTCTCAGCTTGACTCTTGTCTCCGTGGATTGAGAGAGCAGGCCAACCATCAGTCCGTAGCTGTCGCGTGATTTGGTCGCAACCCTTTTTGGTGTCGAGGAATATCAATATCCGGCTTCCGTCCATAATATCTTCCAGTAACTTGACTAATCTGTAAAAAATAAAAAATAAAAAATTGCGATGTAAGGAGGGGCAATTGTGGTATTTTGAAGGATGTCCTTAAAGGGTGTCCTACTTGTTATATTTCTGAGTCTCTGTTACAATCTCTACATGCTGGCGAATAGCATGATTAGCTTTCAAGTCAGCAGAACCAATAATCACCTGTTGATATCGAGCCGATTCTGTCAGATGTGATAGAGATGAACGAACCCACCTTTGAACTGCTTGGTCACAATTCTTACCTTGTAGGGATTGTAAAGGAACTGTTTAGCAAGTTGTTCGACTTCTTTGGGCCAAGTAGCACTCCAATAAAGAGTTTGACGGTCAGGTCGAATCTATAAAAAAAGAGAAAGTAGGATAAATTCAAAGAGAAAAAAGAAAAATTATAATTATGATTTTTTAACAATGTTTAATCCACCTTAAAGAATATATTGAGGGTGTTTGTCTGATGAAGAAGACATTTGATCGATTAATTGTACTTAAAGGCTAAATTAAATTAGTATTTATTATCAGTGCTGCTTAAGTCATCAATACAATTGGGTTGATGTTAAACAGTCCTGTGAAGGATTCCCTATCAAAAAATGAAACTTTTGCCTCGGCTTTTTGAATTAATGAATGAATGTGGACTGAAATTCATTTCCGCAAACCATAGCCATCAGATCCCCTTTCACGTATCCTTCTTCACCTCATTCTTGATCTCCTCCCCCACAATCCGACCATTCAACACTATTTATCTCCTTCCTTCCGCATTGTTATTTTGTACCATTTAGATATCAAAGACTTCCCCAACCAATCTCACCTCCGAGCATATCCCACTCGCAGGCCACTCATACCCTCCAGTGTGCTAAATCACAGGTCGTTCACCCAAAATCTGTCCAGAGATGGCAATTATCCATTACAAACAAGTTTTAATAATCTGATTGAACCCGAGGGTGTATAAGAAGGATTTGATTTTCGCATACTGGACAATGAATTACCCAAACCTATATATATTTTTAGATTAAGATAAAAATTAACAGTTATAACTTATGATAAAATCAACCATGCATTAGAATAAGGCAACAATAATATCTTTTACACTATCAGCATTATATGCATAACTCAGTCATCATAATTTTACATGTCAATCCTAATCATAACTCGCTCACAACTTCTGCAGATTTTTTGTTGCACTTGCATAAAATTCAACACAGCTCATCATCACTGTCCACTACATGGATAAGTTCAAGCTAATTCCAATCCTTCCCGGCCACCAAAAACTATTTCGCAACTTCTTCCACCTTTCCTTTAGATAGAAACTTGAGCTCAAATAATAACCATTCAGATAACCACTACAAAATTCATTGACATTTAGGCACTAGAATGACCCTGCTATACTATTTAGAGACCAAAGACTTAAGAAGGTCGTGTTTCAGGACAAAAGTAGCTTTTATTGACGCTCCAGTTACGTATAAGCCTTAATTGATACTTTTAGATTAAACTTATGTTGATTGGTAAATCTATTTTAAGCATTGGAGCAGCGCTCAGAAAAATCCATGTGCTTGTGAAGCTTAAATGAATTATCTCTACTTCATCAAGAGAGTCAGCTCGTGATAGAATATTAATTTATTAACATGAAAACAATTGCATAAATTAAAGTTCATAGTACTTGAAAGTTAAAGCTTCTGTGATTTTTATTTCTATTGTCATCATAATAATTCGATCAAACCATTCCATTTCAATTGAATTTCATGTTAGTTACTTTACCTTGTACATATAGCATATAAATTTTATCTCATTACATATAAATAGTACATATCATCTTGATCATAGGACTTACAAACTCTGTTTTAAAAGGCGTTTATGGGGGCACACCCCAGGGTGAGGCATAAGCCTATTCGCCCCAAGCACATGAGGGGGGCGTCACGGGGCGTACGCCCGGGAGAGCCCAAAGCACAATTTGCGCCTCATGGGGCATACGCCCCATCTATTAATCAAATAAAAAGAAAGAAAAAAACCCTAATTCTTTAGACTTAATCCATGTCGATCCAAGGTCTCCCCACACAGTCGATCTCCCGCACCCTCTGCTTCCTCCCTCTCATGCAGACACAGAAGAACTAGCCACCATTTGCTTGGTCCCTCCCACAACAGACAATCGTGTTGTCTGCTTCATCACGCATAAAGGAGCGTCTGCTTGGCCTGCTTCGTCTGCCTCAACGTGCACGCAAACGATCCCGCCGCACCCGCGCTCTCCCGCGGGCTCAACCCGATTCATTTGATTAGAGGTTTATACTGTTTCATAATTTTTATTATTTTACACAGCAGCTATAGTGAATTCACTGTAGCTACAATAATTTCGCTGTAGCTACAGTAACCGCAGATCTTTTTCAAGTTTGCAATTTGCTAGAGTCGGATTTTAATTTTTTTTTTTATGCACAAATAGTTTATTTTTTTCTCTTAATATTTATACTTCTTATTTTTTTTTTATACCGTGAGAATTACACCTGACGCCTTGGGGCTTACGTCACGCCCCATAACAGCTAAAATACCCCACCCAATGCCCACGCCTTTTAAAACATTGCTTATAAAAGCCAAAAGAACTTAGATCTAGTAGACTAAATAAATGTGCATTCAACAAAATAATAACTAAATTTGTAGAACTAAACATTGAATTTAGTGTTTAAGATAGGAAAAATATCTAGTAAGAAAGCATCATATACGTTTTCTTAACAAATATGTTATACATAATCATACTAGTATAAATGATGCGGAAAATTATCAAAAACATCATTACAGGCATAGTCATTAAGTCAAGTTTATGTGCACCTAGGAGATTATACAACAACAACAAAGCCTTAATCCCACTACGTGGGGCGGCTACATAAATCTTTTTTCTCCATTGCGTTCTATTTAGTGTCATATTTTCATTTAGTTCTAGTAAATTAAGATTATTTTTAATACAATAAGTCCAAGTCTTCCTAGGTCTACCTCTGTCTTTCTTAACACAAGTCGAATCTAAAACATTTACTCTTCTAATCGGATCAACAGATGGACAGATGGTCGACGTTTAATGGTTTAATGTGACCAAATTATCTAAGACGACTTTCTCTAATTTTGTTTGTCGCATGAGCTACACCAACCCTATCACGAATATATTCATTTCTCATTTTGTCTCTAAGTGTAAAGCCACCCATCCACCTAATCATTCTCATCTCGGCAACACTTTAACTTATTATTATGCTTCCCTTTTAAAGGCCAACAGTCAGCGCCATAGACCATTGCAGGTCTCACCACCGTCTTATAAAATTTTCCTTTCAGTCTAAGCGGTACTTTTCTATCACACAAAAGGCCCGAAGCATTCCTCTACTTCAACCAATCAACTTGAATTCTACTATTAACATCCACATCTATATCACCATCGCTTTGAACAACGGACCCAAGATATCTAAATCGTTCACACCTTTTAATAATTTGATCGCCCAAAGTCACACTTCTGTCACTAGAGATTATGAAGTGTGTTATTTAGGCTTTTTTTTTTCTTGTGACTTATAAATACATGTGTTTTGCAATTATGCGTAATGTCACGTCATTATCATGCTAATCATGTGTTGTACTAGTATCTTGAGTTGAGAGCATGTTGTAGTGGAAACCAAGCCCAATCCATTCTCTGACATTAGCCATCAATTGAGCAATGTGGGACACATTTTGACCTTCTTAGCTCATGGGAATATATACATCATCATTTTACAATAACAACTCATCTTTCACCTCACTGACACACTCACGATACTTAGCTGCCACTCCCCTCACTCTTCCATCATTGTTTTATGACAAACCTTGCAGTTTTCCCCTCCATTAAGCATTTGATTATAAAACTAGCTTGAAATTCTGTAAAATATTCTTCAAACTCTGCAAATCATTATTTCGTCCCTATTTCAAGCATGGCTTTGGAGTTCCCTTGTCATTAACATAAATGCTGCACTTGTACCATATATGGAGCTAACTTTTGTTATATAAAATTTAGCCTTGGCATTACAAACTACTTGCTTAAGAGATTTTAAGCAATTTTACCATGGCAAAGAAGTATTTAAAGTAAATGGATTCGATAAATCCAAAAATGATTACCCAGATTGCTAAACTTATCAAATCTATGAATCCTTGACTTTTGAGTCCCCAACCCCAGCATGAATTTTCACATGTGAAATGGATTCCTCTTTACATCTTTAAAATGTGATTTACTCTTTTCTCAGAGATTTTCGTTAAAGAGTTCCATTTAGGTGGAGCATCCAGTCATATTAATCATAACGAGAAAATTGGCATGATTGAAGATTGGCTCTTTTTGCCAAGCCTCGAGAAGGATGGAACGTGAATTGTTACAAAATGATGCAACCATCATGTACACTCCTTTGCACATTTCTCGTTGAGCCTTAAAGGATCTTAGTACAGATTTCAATCACATATTTTTCTGCAAAGCTCAAAAATGTGACTCCACCATATTAGTCAATGATTGATTCTCCAATATGGCGCAATTTATTCCGTTTTAAAAGAACTCTAAATGCATCACAAATTGCTTCTTTCCTTTAGGTTGTACAGCTTCATAGTTTACCCAAAATCATTACCTCGGATCGAGATATTCAGTTTATGAGTTACTGTTAAAATACCTTTCGAAGATACAAACTTAACGCCTATTTTCCATAATTTATCACCCACGCGCAAATGGTCAAAGGTTATGAATAGAAGTTTAGGTAATCTACTTAGATGCCTAGTCATTTACCATAAATCCAACTGTGATTTAGTTCTCCCCACTATTGAATTTGTTGAAAATAGCTCCATTAATAACTCAACTCGCATAAGCCACCCTTTTCACATCAGGATAGTATAGGAGTCAAGAAAATCAATTGACCTAAATGAACTAATGGTTGCCCAAAGGTTTAGTGATTTTGCATGTGTTACCATGAACTTAATGATGAATTTTGAAGTGCATTTAAAAATAATTAAAATAATAGAATGAATGCTAATTCACACGAAAAACATATTGTTTTCAATGAGGGCATGATATTTGTAAATGTTATGTAAAGAGATTTTCCACAATCATTCTTAAAATGTTAAAGTCCTAGAAAATCTAGTACTCATGAAATTATGAAGAAAATTAATGAAAATGTAAGCATAGTAGAACTTCGTAAGGAAGTTGGAATTTTTGTAGTATTCAATATGAACTTACCATGAAATTGTGGCTAAGCAACAAACACGCTTGTTCTCATTACTATCAATTATGACATACAAGTTCATACCAGTGCATCCACTCCATAAATGTCACCATTGCTACTACCACCAAACCTTCATCTAAAGTAAAATT